CTGCATGACTTCCCACATGTATTATACTTCATGCATTGGCCCACAAACACCAAACATTGTGGTTTTTTGGTTTTGTTTTGTTTTTCAAAGATTTATTTTATTTCTATTGGAAAGTCAGATATACAGAGAGGAGAAGAGACAGAGAGGAAGATCTTCTGTCTGATGATCCACTCCCCAAGTGAGCACAACCATCCGAAGCCAGATTCCAGGAACTTCTTTCCAGGTCTCCCATATGGGTGCAGAGTCCCAAGGCTTTGGGCCGTACTCGACTTTTCCCAGGACACAAGCAGGAAGCTGGATGGGAAGTGGAGCTGCTGGGACTAGAACCAGTAGCCATATGGGATCCCAGTGTGTCCAAGGCGAGGACTTTAGCCGCTAGGCCACGCCGCCAGGCTCAAACATTGTGTTTTGAACACTCTAGAGGCCATGCCTCGAAAGGAGATAACTGAGAAAGGATTCCAATAATGTGTTATCCCAAGGAGGATCTGCTATGTCTTGATACAGAGTGAGGAGTCTCCAGGATGTCTAAACAGTATCTGTGGATCCTGTTAGACTCTGAACTAGTGGTAACAGCTTATGCCCTAAATGGGCTGGAGGAAATACCTCTAGGCACTAAAATCTGTCTCTTGGTCTGGCGCACTATTTCACCATTAGTTTTAGAACTTCCTAATGGACCTTGTGCCGTTGGCCAATGTGTGATATCTTCCACTGAATTAGCCACCGGCAGTTGCTGATGTGTGTTATCTAACAGGATTCCACCAGCCTCATCTTTTTAGATGGTGCAAATTCACTATTTATGAATCATACTAAACGTTTGGATGTTTTTCCTGGGATCCACCTCAGACACCTATGCTTTCTTGCATTGGGCTCATAGCACAGCTCCACTCAAATTCACAGTGCTTCTGTTTGCAGGGGATGAGGTCAGCTTGAGCCGTCAGGTTCTTCTGGATTTCCCTAGTGAGTATCACCTCTACAAGGAAATGGTTGGGAGGGTGTAGATAAGTTCATAGCAGAGCCACAACAGGTGGCTAATTAGTACCACATGTATAAAAAAACCTTGAGACAACTTCATGGGCTATTAATAATACCTTGATTCAGCAGAATCATGGTTTCTTTTGTTCATGGAGTGCAGCTGAGCAAGCCACCTGGTCATATGCATCAACCAAAAAACTAAAGCAGGGAAACATTTGAATTTATATGAAATGAATTCATCTGGATGGTCCCCCAGCTATTGGAACTTAAGCCAACTGACTAAGCTGCTGGCAACAAGCTAAACACACTTATTTTCCTGCAATGATACACAACCTAGAGAAAACCATATAACATTATTAAAAAAAAAAAAAAAAAAGCAGTGACTGGCTTGATACCAATGACAAAGGAGGTCAGGTACCTATTGGAAGGCACCCTGTGAGACGCAGTGGTTATGAAGAACTGAGCTGTGGCCCTTGTTGCCTCCTGGATGGCTGGGCCATTGAATCTTGGGGTTTGCTCTCCTGGACCCAGGATCACATCCTTTCATCACTTCCTACATCTGAAAATTTGCCTCAGCTTTATGCCCGTGGGTTGGGACAATTTTCAAGTGAAATGAACATCCAGCTTCCATTTTTGTTTGCTCAATAGGTTTAGATGTTTTTCCATAGGAAGCTCTCACGATTACAAAACAAGCTCTAAATTATAGGCTATTCTCATGATCAGATCACCAAAATGCAAAAAACAAAGACTGCTCCAAAACAATATAGTCATGAACATGGTCCTGGCAATCCAAGAGAGAATGTGCACTGTTTAAAAAAAAAAAAAAAAAGTATTGCTGGGCCCAGCATGATGGTTCAATGGCTAAATCCTCACCTTTCAAGTGCCAGGATCCCATATGGAGTGTTGGTTTTTATCTCAGCTGCCCCACTTCCCATCCAGCTCCCTGTTTGTAGCCTGGGAAAGCAGTGGAGGATATGGCCCAACGTCTTGGGACTCTGAGCCCATGTGGGAGACCCTACAGAAGCTCCTGGCTTCAGATTCACTCAGCTCCAGTCACTGTGGCTGTTGAGAGTGTGAACCCAAGGATGGAAGATCTTTCTCTATGTCTCTCCTTCTCTTTACAAAGATATCTGTCTTTCCAATAAAATAAATAAATAAAATTTTTGAAAAAGTAAAGCTACATCTGTACCCCTACTTGTTCCCCCAGCACTGCAACCCTAATATCCCACACAAAAGATCAAATGAATGCCACATCTGAGCCTGCCCCTTCTTCAGGGAACCTTTGTAGCATGCAGCTTGAGTTGTGGCAAAGATTGCCTACTGTGTGCAAAATTCTTTTCAGTCTTTTCTCATGCATGTTTTTCTTACATTGTTGCAGTGAACTGCGCCTACGACAGATAGTCTCACAGTGCACCGCATGCAATGTCCATGCCCTCCTCTCAGGTTCAGGAAGCCTTGTGGAGCGGGTGAGTTGGGGCGGGGAGAGTATGAGTTGGTTTCAAAAGGTGAAGTGCAGATACACTGTTTGACATAATAATCAGGGTCATCCTGGACATGACCATTTTGGTCAACTCCTGAAACTCCCGCATACAGACAGGGATGCTCTCCCAAACAAACCTATTAATTTCGGCTATGGGGCAATATTTGCTGCCCCAGAATTGGCCTGGAATGCAGCTGACGTCTTTGCTACTTGCTCAAGGAGCAGATCCCTTGCAGCTTGAAGCAGATTCACCTTCAGCTGGGCAGGATATAAATTCATTCCCTTCAGCCACAGGTGCCAAGCCATTGGTGAGCCACCCTTGATTACGCTTCTGTACGTAAGTTTCCTCTCAGTAAACTGCACCTTCTGCAGTCCTGTGCTTGCCTGTCAGTTTATTCAGTCTTCCTGCACTGGCGGCCAGTTCTCTTACACCAGGTTGACTTAGTACAGATGGGTCATCAATGTTTTCTTCTCTCACACCTGCCAAGGTTGAAGATGCCTGTTATCCAGGACAGGACTCCTGGCACTCCCACGGGCCTGTGCATTTACCTGAGGTTTTGATAATAAAATTTTATTGGGCTAACACGGATGGTTCAATGGGGTAATCCTCCATCTGCAGGACTGGCATCCCATATGGGCACAGTTCTAGTCCTGGCTGCTCCACTTCCCACCCAGCTCCCTGCTTATAGACTGGGAAAGCAGAGAATGACTCAAGTCATTGCGCCTCTTGCATCCACATGGGAAACCCAGAAGAAGCTCCTGGCTTTGAATCAGTCCAGCTCTGACCACTGCGGTCACTCGGGTAGCAAACCAGCAGATAAAAGATATCTCTCTCTGTCTCTCCTGCTTTCTGAAAATCTACCTTTCAAATTAAAAAAAAAAAAATCTTAGAACAATAATAATAAAATAGAAGGGTCCACTGATCTGGCCTGTCTTAAAGCAAGGAAAACCCCAGGATTTTCATTGTCAAGCTTCCTACACAGCTCTCAAGCTCAGCCTCTCCTGGGGGAACACTGGGCTCTACCAGCAATCGGGACTTGCCCAGGTAGATAAGCTGAGGTCCCGGGGAAGGCTGCCCCCAGCTCTCTGAGAACTGGCTCAACAGGTCTCAGGGTTGTCACACAGGCCACCTGAACCAGCAGCTGCTTGGCTCCCACTCGCTATCTGGCTTGCTCACTCGCTTGCTCTCTTTTTTTTTTTTCCTGTCTCCTTCCTATCTTTCCGAGAGTCCTTTGGCTGCCCTGGGATTGCCTCTTATATTCTCAAGAACTGACGCCCTTCAGGACCAGATCTTTTCCGCCACCCTCCCTAGATCTCCAGGTAGAATCCATCCACTTACTTGATTCACTTCCCTTTCCCCACTAACCTTGCTGTTTTAGAGCAAGAGCAACTTTCTTTGTGTTAAGACAGAGTGCACTTGTCCCACAGTTCACATCAAGAAACAGACAACATGGGGCTGATGCTGTGGTGCACGGAGTTAGGCTGTCCTTGAGACACAGGCACCCCATGTTAGAGTGTTAGCTTGAGCCTCAGCTACTCCACTTCTGATTCAACTCACTGCTAATGTGCCTGGGAAGCAGCAGATAACGGTTCAAGAACTTGAGTCTCTGCCATCCACATGGGAAACTTGGATGGAGATCCTGGTTCCTGGCTTCAGCCTGGCCCAACCCCAGCTATTGTGAAAATTTGGGAAATGAACCAATAAATGGAAAGCCTCTCTCTGTGTGTGTCTTTCTTTCTCTCTCTCCCTTTCCTTGCTCTGTCTTTATCTATCTGTTATCTGTTTCTCCCTCTCTTGTAGCTCTGCTTTTCAATAAATGAATAAATCCTAAAAATTAAAAAAAAAGCAGGCACAATTTGAAATTGTAACAGCACCAATGTCGTAACAGTAAAAATCACTGCTCAGTGTGTATTTCCATGCCTGTGACTATTTATCTGGAGTTACAGGAAGGGGGAGTCCCCTACATACTAATTCCCACAGCCCCACCTCTTTACCTCCAGGTGGCCCCAAATCCCCTCTGAAAGGGTGCGTTTCAGATATCCGCAGAATAACCCTAAGACTTGGGATGGGGTGGTCAGGATACAGACAGCTTAGATCAAATGTCCTGAGCAAGGCATGGCCCAATTGTCCCCGACACAAAACAGCTAAGGAATAGCTGCATTGATTGTCCTGCTTGGGGTTAGACCGATCCCAGAAATGAACCAAGAGTCTCCACCGGCTCTTGGATTAGTCATGCCATTGAAGAGGAGGCGAAGGCAGCACAGGGCCATGTCTGGCAGGGAGTCTGGAGTTTCTGGTTTTGAAGCTCAGGGAAGGCATGAGTCAGGGGAGGGGCCTCCTTAGACGGGGAGGGCAGGAAGCTGGGGCAGGGCTCTTGATAAGCTGTGCAATGCTGTGCAGGCAGAGGCAATCCAGGACATAGAGAGGATACCAGGAGCCTCCCGGAACTCAGGCAAGTGGATATTCCAGCGTGGATCTCCTCCAAAACCCCACCTGCTCCAAAGATTTAGAGCTCAGCCTGAGGCCCGTCTTTTCCTGCATCTAGACATGGAGCCACTACTAGGAGTAAAAATTGGCTGCTTGTTGGCCCTCCTAGCTCTCACCCTGGGCTGTGGACTTATTCCCATTTGTTCCAAATGGTTCCAGATTGAGGCAGCTACAGGTACATCCCTTTTTTTTTTTTTTTTACCTTTAGCCCGTAACCGGCTCTCACCTCCAGACTGTCCCCATTTCTTGCTCTGATTTTCTCACCATCCTTAAGCTCGGGCTGTTGGGTGCTGCCGCTTGCTCCTTAGTCACCTTGGTCTAGCTCCTCACGGCCACCTGGATTATGACAGCTGCTCTCTGCTAGGTCGTCACCGCCGGGTTCTCAGCCTCCTGGGCTGTGCTTCTGCCGGTGTTTTCCTGGGAGCAGGGTTCATGCACATGACTGCTGAAGCCCTGGAGGGAATTGAATCAGAGATCCAGAAGTTCACAGTGCAGGTGAGCAGCAGAGATGCCGAGCTGTAGGACTATGAGTAACAGTGAGAACAATGTGGGGAGAGGGGCTGGGAGTTGGGAGGGGAGGGAGGTGCTAGGGCCAGAGACATGGACGGAATACCAGCGAAGAAAAGGGCTTTGGGACTGTGTGCAATGGTGAAAGCAGGTCAGCTCGGGGCTTAAGAAAGTGCTGAACAGGGACTGGCGTCATGGCCTAGCGGCTAAAGTCCTCACCTTGAACGCACCAGGATTCCATAGTGTGCCAGTTCTAATCCAGGCAGCTCCATGTCCCATCCAGCTCCCTGCCTGTGGCCTGGGAAAGCAGTCATGGATGGCCCAAAGCCTTGGGACCTTGCACCTACATGGGAGACCTAGAGGAAGCTCCTGGCTCCTGGCTTCAAATTGGCTCAGCCCCAGCTGTTGCGGCCACTTGGGTAGTGAATCATTGGACGGAAAATCTTCCTCTCTGTGTCTCCTCTTTGTATATCTGACTTTGCAATAAAAATAAACCTTTTTTAAAAAAGTGTTGCTCAGTCAGCTGAGCTGCTCTGTTTCCCTTCTGATGTCAGCTTCTTTCTCCCTAGAACAAGACCGAGAATGAGACGAATTCTTCCTTTAGTGACAGTGACAGTTCAGCTCTGGTGAGTGCTTCCCACCAGCCCCTACCTGCAGGGGGAGGAGGAGCAGAGAGGCCTTTCGCAATCAGAGCCCTTTGAGTGGAACATGTGGGGAAAGCTGGTCGGGGAGCCTTCTGTTCTCTAGCTGAGACCTGGGAGAGGAGAGGTGCAGTCAAGCAGGTCCTTTCAGGCTTAAAGACTGCTCCACCACCACCACCCAGAGAGCCACCTGCCCCTTCCATCCACTCCCTGAGCCTTCGGAGATGCTTGCCATGGCTTGCGCTTGTCTCTCACCCTGTTGATAGCGTACTTCCCAGTTCCTCTGGCACTGGCACTGTCCGTTTCTACCCTCAGCTTTATTCCCCCATGCTTTTTTGATATGTTCTGAGACCACACATGCGCGTTCTCTTGGCTCTCCCAACCCTGTCCAACACAATGCATTTCATTCCTCTCCTGCCCTCTCTGTTTCCCAGACAGAATATCCCTATGGAGAGCTTGTCATCTCCCTGGGCTTCTTCCTGGTCTTCCTCGTGGAGTCACTGGCGCTGCAGTGCTGCCCTGAGGCCACTGGAGAATCTACCAAGAGGGAGGAGGAATGGAATGGAGTGCATGGGCTTGCTTTCCACAGCCATGCGCGAAGACCCGCACCTTCTCGGGGCCCTCTTCGAACCCTCATCCTCTTGCTCTCGCTCTCCTTTCACTCAGTGTTTGAAGGCCTAGCCGTGGGCCTGCAGCCCACCATAGCAGCCACTGTACAGCTTTGTCTCGCAGTCCTGGCTCACAAGGGGCTTGTGGCCTTCGGGGTGGGACTGCGACTGGTGCAGATAGGCACCAAGCCAAGATGGGCCGTGTTCTCCATGCTGGCCTTAGCTCTCATGTCTCCCCTAGGTCTTTCACTAGGACTGGCTGTGGTTGGAGGAGACTCCGGAGGGGCACAGGGTTTGGTTCAGGCCCTGTTAGAGGGTGTGGCAGCTGGCACTTTCCTCTATGTCACCTTCCTAGAGATTCTGCCCCAGGAATTAGCTGATCCAGATGCCCCTCTGGTCAAATGGGCCTGTGTAGCTGCTGGTTTTGCTTTCATGGCCTTTATTGCTTTATGGGCCTGAGAAATTCCTGACATTTCTGGTGGACCTTCCCAGGGGTACTACTTACTCCCAAGAGAAACCACCCAAGCAATCACAAGGCGTCCTCTATAGAGAAGGCATTGCACCTTTTCTCCACTTCTCAGGACTTAAAAATGTTTTCCTTGTTTACACTGAGTGACTATTTCCTGGAGAACTGGTGTAAAGACCCTCACTGCAGAGCTGAACTGTCCCATTACACTATTATGCATAATAACATGTCCATTTACCCTTTTCCTCTAGGAGTATTGTATCTCATTGCTCCTGGTGGGATTAAGAAACTGCCTGTTTCAGGAGGTGGTAAAATGGGGAATGGGAGAGAAGAATGTTGGATGTAATATTTTGTTCTGGAATCAGAGCCTCCAGCCATTTTGACAGTTGGAGGCCATGCCCCTAGATACAAATGCATTGCTGAAATTCCAGCAACCTTCTCGCACCTGGCCACAGGTGCTGAGAAAAAAAGGCCAGATTTCTCAGCATTCATGTGAGAAAAGATTCAAAAGCAGAAAGCACAGAGCCAGTGGGGTCATGCAATAAGTTAAGTTGCCACATGTGACTGACACTGGTATCCCATACTGGAATGCCGGTTTGAGACCTGCCTGCTCAGCTTCTGATCCAGGCTACTGCTAATATCCCCAGGAAGTTGACAGAAATTGGCCCGAGTATTTGGATTCCTGCCACCCATATGGGAGACCTGCTTGGAGGTCCTGACCTCTGGCTTCAGCCTGGCCCGTTCCTGGCTGGGGAATAAGCCAACAGTTGGAAGACCCCCGCCCTCTCCCTCTCTCTCTCTGCCTGTCTTTCTCACTACCTCTGGTCTGCCCTTCAAATAAATAATAAAAAATTTTTTTATGAAAAGGAAACCGAAACCATGATGTTGATTTTTTTTTCCTAGCACTAGCCACAGCCACTCCATTTCTAGCAGCTATAACCAGCTGCACGCCACGTGCCTAACAGGCTGGGTAACTGCAGCCTTTTCCATCAACTTTCTGCTTTTCACATAGAGCACTGTGTGGCCTTAGGCTTTTCTTTGAGCCTCTGGCTCCTGGCCGCTTTGCGCTGAGAGATTAAACACCGTGTATTCAGAGAGAGAGAAAGGGGCCAGGTAAATGCCAAGGGTGATTACATGACTCAGTGGCTTTCCTTCTGCCTGCCTTCCCAATCTCCTTTCAGTTGGAATAACAGCCATAATGGACTGCTTCTCTTAATAACTGTTCAAGAAGTCAACCTGGGCCAGGGACCCATCTGTATGCACAAGATCTGCCACTGGGAGGAGACTGGATAAAGGAGTTTGGTGAACTCCTTTGTCAGATTGCAGTCGCCGCAGATATATGCAAGAACCAAGACAAGGAGTAGCCCAAACCAGACCAAGTTACAGGACCTGCCAGCATACATGTGGCTCAGATCAGAGGGTGGGTTAGGCTGGACCAGTCCATAACATCCACCTGCAGCTCCAGGAACCAGCATGGGGTACAGGATGGGACAAGTCAGGCTGCATCATCAGCCATTTTACACGCAAGCTGGAACTTGAGGCTGACTGAGAAAGGCTAGGTTGCAGCACCAACCAGCATAAGCTGGAATGAGGGGCCAGTTGGATTGAACTAGGCTGTAGTACCCACTGGTAGATTTCAAGGAAGGTGAGCCATATCAGTCTGCAGGTAGGGGTCCAGATCAGTAAGTCACTGAGATGGAGGGTCCAGCAGGACATGGATCTCCCATCCCAGGTCATTGGGCCTGCCTGCATGGTGGGTGTTAAACCTGTGAGCCCCAGGATTGGTGGGCCCAGAAGGGTCTGGTTCTCCTGGTCCAGGCACTGGAGCCCACCTGTGTGGTGAGGACCAGGTCCATGAGCCCCAGGAGTTGGGGGTCCAGCAAGTCCCAGGTTACATGGCCTGGAACCTTGGCCTCGCCTGCGCAGTGAGAGCTGAACCCATGATCCTCAGTGGTGGGGAATCTGGCCTGGCCCTGGGTCTCCTGGCCCAGGGCCTAGGGCTCACCTACATAGTGGGTGTCAGGTCTGTGAGCCCAGGGGGGTGGGAGATCTAGCAGGGCCTGGGTCTCCAGATCTAGGTCATTGAACCCATCAGTGTGGTGGGGGCTAGGTCTGTAAGCCCTGGTGGTAAAGGGTCCAGCAGGTCCCAAGTCACATGGCCTGGGTCTATGGGCTCACCTACGCAGTGAGTGCTGAGCCCATGAACCTCAGGGGTTAGGGGTCCAGCCTGGCCCTGTGTCTTCTGGCCTAGGTCCTAGGGTCCACCTATATAGTAGGGGTTGGGTCCATGAGCCCCAAGGGTGGCGGGTGCTGAGGAGCCTGGGTTTCCTGATCCAGGCCACCAAGCATGCCTGTGTGTTGGGGTGGGGGGGGGTGGTGGTCAGTTCTGTGAGCTCCAGAGGTGGGAAAATCCAACATAGCCCAGGTCACCTGACTCAGGTCCATGAGCCCACCTAGAAGAACTGGTCCTCCACAGTGTAGAAGATGGAGTGCTGGATGGCAGACCATGCACATGAAAAACATGGTAGCTCATTGAAGCCTGCAGAGGACATCTGGTACCATAGCAGAGAATGGAGAACAGAAGATATGGACAATTACCTCAGCCAAACAATGACAGCAAATATCTGGGCGACTGGAGACTATAAGGTTGATGGTGTCAGCCAATGAGCATTGGAAAGGATTTCTCATCCATAGATAGGTGCAATTGAAACTATCACATCCATCTGGGCAGAACCTTTGGAGCATGTGCCATTGTGACTCTGGGTTGATATTGGGTGGCGTTTCCCCATCCTCAGGTACTAGGATTGTGGGGAGGCTGGGTATGACCTATCTCCTTATCTTTCCCATCCCCCCAGAAATGGAAAGAAGAAATAGAAAGCTTGGAAACAATGATCACACCCATTCCTCCCTAACTCTGGATCCTTCCCACCCTGATTGACTATGTAAACATTATCTAAAATTAAAAAAAAAATTTTAAAAACCTGTTCATGACAAATCCCAAGGCAGTTGGAATTGAGGAAGAACAGTAAGTTCTTCCAAACCATGGAAGAACCCAGCCTCCAAACCATGAGGTAGAGGAACACTGAGACCTAGAGAAGGATGAAAGGGCATCTGAGAGTCCAATCACCCTCCCCAGTTCACTCCTTCTGATATCTTGTGTATGGAAGCCCAGGTAACCTTTGTCTCAACAAAGTTTCTTCGCTTTCACTCTTGTCTCAGTTCATCCTGCTGCCTTCCCCCACAAAGCAAGGACACGAACTTCCACGCAAAGCCAGTTTGCATATCCAGGCACTGGTAGGAAGACAATCTTCAGGCAAAGATAGATGGTGGCTAGATGAATAAATTCAGACAGATGACAGAAGACAGATTAATGATAGATCTATAGATGGGTGATGGATAGATAATAGGTAGTTATTGACAGAAATAACAGATAGACACAGGATAGATTGATAGATGATTGATAGATAAACAGGAGCTGTGCCATGGTGTAGTGGGTGAAATCTCTCACAATGCTGGCATCCCATTTGGGAACCCTTGGATGCCCCATTTCCAATCTAGCCATTGCAGCCTTTCGGGGAGTGAACAATCAAGCAAAAGATTTCTGTCCCTCCTTCTCTCTGTAAGTTTCAAATAAAAATAAATTATAAAAAAGAAAGAGGGCCCTGCACAATGACTCAGTGGCTAAATCCTTGCCTTGTATGAGCACTGATTCGTGTCCTGGCTGCTCTATTCCCATCCAGATCTCTGCTTGTAGCTTGGGAAAGCAGTAGAGGACGGCCCAAAGCCCTGAGACCCTGCACCCATGTGAGAGATCTAAAGAAATTTCTGGCTTTAGATTGGCTAAACTCTGGCCATTGCAGCCACTTGGGGAGTGAACTCGAGGACAGAAGATCTTTCTCTATGTATCTTCTTCTCTCTATAAATCTGCCTTTCTAATAAAAATAAATAAATCTTTTTTTTAAGATACCATTTTGCTTTAAAAAAGAAAGATAAATAGTAGATGACAGACAGCTAGGTAGATAGATAGATAGATAGATAGATAGATAGATAGATAGATAGATAGATAGATACAGACATACATACATACAGAGGGAAGTTTCCCTAAAGAACCATCCTGCTTCATCTTCCCTTCAGTATTAAGTGCCACAACATGTAATGTACTCAGAATAGTGACTGGTAACAATACTGAAGTCTTTATGTTGAGCACCTGCCATATGCCAAGCCCTACCCCACTGCTTTCACACACATTTTCTCAACTACACAAGCCTGACAGGTAGATACTATACCCATAGGAAGTCTAGGGAAACAGGTATTAAGAATAGTTGAATCATTTATTCATATAGCTGGCTGGGCTTCCAATTCATGTTTTTATGATTCCAAGAAAGGCTCCATCTGCAGATTCTCTTCTTCCTCACCTTTACCTGAGCACCCCTTCTGTGTCCTCATCCCACTATGTTTGAATCCCAGAAGAAAGAAGATAGCATATTGGATCACTGAGGCAATTTTAATAAAAGGAGTGTTTGGTGAGGTGTGGGCAGGACTTGAACAAAGCAACGCATGATGATGCAACACCCAGAGGCTGAGTAATAAAAATGCATTGCCCAGGCTGAAGAGAAAGGAACAGTTGCCAGAAAAAAAGAGAGAGCCATGAAGGAAGAGTTATGACCTTTAACAGAGCATGCAGCTGGCATGCAGGGACTCAACCAGGAAGGAATAATCCCAGCCTCCTTCCACTCTCTGATCTATAGCCAGTGTCAAATCCAAACAGAAGCCAGAGGACAGAACTGTCTACTGACATATCGTAAACAACTCAACCGTATGGGACACAGAAAACAGGAAAGACAGCTAGGAGGCAAACAGAAGGTGTCTTGTATACCGCCCATTCTCCGCTACTCTCAACCTAAGTGATCCCGCCAAGACTTCAGATGAGATAGACTAAAAGGGACACGATGCTGTGGATGTTAAAAAGCTATTTCTAGTACAGAGGATTTGC